CCTATAGTTCTTATACAGATTACTGTAAACTTCTGTTAACCAAGTATTTAATTACCTTAGCTGGTTAAGGAATAGGAGGGTGACTTTGTTAACACCTTTTAGTAAAGCTTATCAGCTTAATTGTGTCGATAAACTTCATCTAATGGTGAGGAGCAGGGCTGCTCCAGGGAGTGTTCCTCCAGCTGCTGTGATGTGGTTGAAAGATGAGAGGAAACAGTTTGCATGGGATGCGATGCCCTCCTTTCAGATGCTCCTGAAATCACTTGTTAAACTTGGTGTGACTGGATACCAGTGCAGAATTAAGGAGTGCAATATATCTGTAATGTAGGTGTTGGTTTTGTTTTAAGATGTTATGTTGTATTGTTGAAGCTGGAAGACACGTGTGGTCTAGGATCTCATTGTTGGGCAAATCAGACGTGATGGACCACAGGAAAAGGCTCTCTGTGGTTTGCAGTAAACACCTCTGAGAAACTTCCTGTAGGATTCTATGTGACAGCATTTGGAGGCTTTTCAGTACATGTTGACCATATGTGCTACTGAACGTCCCTGTTCTCCATCTGCAGGCATTTCTTCTCCAAGGCATTCCAAAGAGAAGAATTCTGAGGGGGAAGCTGCAGTAGGAAAGTGTGTGGTGATAAAGGTGTGAGTAGAACTGAAGGTATCTATACAGAAGACCTGAAGAATGGCTTCAGGAATGCTGTGGAAGTTTCCCTTTCATATATGGGTATTCAGGTGCTAGCTCTACATTCTCCCTCTAAATAGAGGGTTAAACTTAATACCAGGTTCACTGCAATCTCTGAGTCAGTGTTGCTCAATAGTTTATCCACGTTTTTCTGAATAACAGCTAACCTTTTTTAAAAACAAACAAACAAACAAAAAACCATGTCTGATGTAGTGGAGTGGAAGAGAAGAAGGGAGTGAAAATTACTTGCACTGAAGTACCCATGGTAGGGGAGTATGTTGGGAAAGATACATGGATGGATCTTTTATGCTTTAAAGGGTAAGAATAATTAAAATGATGACACAGAGATACTTGAACTTAAAAGAAGCTTTATGGCAGGGCTCAATCAGTTGACCTCAGGTGCTTTAATTTTCCAAAAGTCTGTTTCCTTTCAGGTGGCTTCTACTTCTGCTCTGCTTATCAGGAGTTGCAGAAGGGAGGGCTGGGGATTTGGGCTCTTCTGCCTTTGCCTGTGACTTCTGGGGAAGGAGTGCACATGGAGAAAGTCCACCTGAAGATTTATGAGAAAGTTATCTTGCAAGAAATAGGCTTTCATGAAGGAACACAAGATGGAAATGCACAATCAGTCATAGTGCACTCTTTTCCCAATCCCTGCTCTAGTTTGAGATGGCTCCTGCTGGGAATATCTGTGAGCAGGTAACGTTCAGATAATGAACTGTAGGAAGCTGCTGTTTGGCTGGAGGCAGCATCCTGACTCGTGCTATAAACGTAAGCTGAGTTCCAACAGATGTATTTCCCCAAGGCTTCCCTCCAACTGCCTTTGCAATGCCAGGGTAACTGTAATTGTCTGGTGCCATTCCATCTTCACACTTAATGCAGGAGTTGTTACAGAATCAGCATGAGAGGCATGCATCAACCATCTGACCAAGGGGGAAGGAAGAAAATTGAAAGGGACGGCAAAGACAGTCTGTGCTTGGCACTGCTACAATTTAGTTCAGCTTCCAAGGAGAAGCACTTAAGATCTTGTTCTCAAAATTACTGTAGCATGTAGTCCTTCTGTGGTGTGATACAACTTGGGGCATCCATTACTGTAAGGATGCTTCTGCAAATGAGGCTCCTTATGCAAATCTAATTCTGGATACCTCAGTCACATCAGGCAGGAGCAGAGATTCTGTATTGCCTCTTGTACATGTAGTATGCATCACTGTGCCATCTGCATCTGAGTATATCACTGATTTGTGGTGAAAGGAAAGAATAGCCAGCAAATGCACAGAGTGCTGCTTGTTGGTCTTCTATGCAGAGAAGATGTGAGGTTTTAAATCTAAGTAGGAAAGCAGTTGCTCTTGTCTGTCTGAAGGGAGTACTGCTCTGCAGATACTGGGTAAGGTTGCAGTAGCTTAAAAGCTGCAAAGAATGGGCATTTAACAAAAAACAAATTAAGCCAGACCTAGAAGATAAGCAGGTAATAGATTAGAAATATCTTAATGGAGATTAGGGTACCTGTATTTGATTGTTTGCATTTGCAGCGTGATGGTGGTTGTATATAAACAAACTGTAGGTCTGTCCTCTTGAAGGTTAGAGGAAATGTAAGAAGGCTGTGCCCTGTCTGCCTGTGCTGTGCAGGAAGGGTGGGTGTGTAAGTGTGCTCACAAGGTGTACCAGGTCTTCAGTTTGAGACCTTCTCTCCTTTGAGCAGCTGCATAGGCTGATAACTCACATCCAGTATGTGTACAAAGAAATTGACCTAAGGCAACTGTAAGTAATCCCAGCTAGCTGAAGTGTTTGTAAGGTCTTGGAATATACTTTCCAGTAGACACTTGATGGATCAATTTAGAACATATGAGGTAGATCTGTTCTGCTTATGTTCTGTGTGTTGGTAGCTAATACAGCAGGGCATTATACTCTACTATAGCATAGGGATCTTCTGTAGAAGTAAACCTCAGTTCTAGCTGGACAGTTGGATCCTTGTTGAGATTCTGGTTCCCTAGCTATTTCTGAGTCTTAAACACAACACTCACACGTAGCTGCTGTGTGTTTGAAGACTTCTGACTAACCTTCCCTCCTCGGTGAGGGAACTGATTTCTTTGTGATGCCTGAAGTGATTTGCCTAATTCAGATGTCTGAACTGGAAGGCAAAACAGGGGAAGGCAGGGTGTGTGGCATCGGGCAGGTGCTGCTAAGTGGGTGATGGTGATTTGAGGTCTGGTTGACAGCATGTATTTGGAGAGTAGGAGTGTGTGTTATGTGAGAGGAGGTTTTATAGGCAGATCCTTACCGTGCTGCTCCATGCAGAGTTCTTAATGTTGCTGCCATTAGCAGCCTCAACTGTTTGAGCCTGGCAGTGTGTGTCACTACAAATCTAAGTGCAATTACTGCACTTGCTATAGGAATATATTACATTTGCATAACCGTTGGTTTAATTGTGTTGAGCAAAGATGTGCTCTGCTTAAGATTTTCTTCAGCTAAAAATAGTTGATCATTTTGCAGTTCATCAATTTTCTGATGTCTTCCTATGCTTCTTGCTACCTGTACTGTGCTTATTTGTATAGAAAATAACATTCTTAAGACAACAGGATCAGTAGGAAGTCCAGCTTCAGGATGAGAACAGAATTTCCCTGGGCACCTGTGCCTATGGCCATTTCTGGGTATGCAGTAAAAGTTGTGGAGAGCCTCTGTTTCAGTCAGAATGGGAAAGGAACTTGGTCTCTGGTGGGTTTCACAACTGCTGGACTACAGCCTTGCTTGCCACAGCAGTTAGAAGGTATGTAATGAAAGAAGCAGGAGACTAGAAGTGGCAGAAGAGAGTTTGCTGCTCTGTAGGACTGACTGTTGCAGCTCTTGTGGTGCAATGGAAAGACATGGTAGTGCACTGTCCCTCTAATGGTTACTGATCATGTCAGCACCCAGTCTTACTTGCTTACCACTCCAAGCCTGGTTCTCATTGTGTACAAACCTGAAAGTAAATAAGGACTGTAAGAATTGCATTTGTGACTGTAGAGCAAACGTTGCTGAACTCAGCCTTGTTCAACATTGTTTGTTGAACCCAACAAATGAGTTTCTTCTGCTTCCTCACAGTTAAATTCTTCTGTATTCCTCTGGAAGTGCTTTTTCATACTGCTTGGGTTTCAGTTGAGAATGAACTCTTTCCCCCCATCCCTGCCAAGAGTAGTGGAAACTGGAGATGAAGAGCTTGGTTAGTATGTAGAAGAGACCATCTGTGTGCTAGAGCAGCTGCTTAAGGGGGTGGTTCAGCTTTGATTCTATAGAATTGGACTCAAAAAACTGTGCTGAGCTACTCTGGCAGTATTTTCTCCAACAGTAGATAATTATGTTTGAGCAAATAAATCAAACAAGGAGTTTTGAGGCTGATTGCTTCCTAATGCAAAGTTCCTTGAAGCTATTTCCAGTTTGTGGGGTTTTTTCACTCTGAAAAAGTGTAACGTATGCCCAAGTTCTTCCTGCACATTGTTACAGAGTTCAAAGGCTATCTGGTAGAGATGTTAACTTTGAGTTCTGGGTACCTGCTGTGAATAACAGAGGGCTGAATTGTTTTGAGAGCATAATTAATAATAATGAAGTTAACAACATACTGCAGCAAGTGTAGTGATTGCATGTGTATACATCTAAATTCAGACACAGGCAAAGCAGATTTAAGTTTCTATAGGCTAGATGCTGGCTCCTGGCTACAGGCATACACATTTAACAGGGAAGAAACCAACCAGACTAACACTCCAGCCCAAATGGATCCTGATGTCATGAATGACAGCGTGATGTTTGTGATGTGGTTTGTAAGGTAGTTTGGGTAGAGTGATGTGATTGTGTAACCTGCCTGCTGCCTCTTGAGGAAATAGAGGGCTCCAAAAAGTAGACTGGACAGAAATGAAGTCAGAGTCTTTCTAATATAAGGAGCTTGAATTAGTTAAGCCTGACACTACTTAAATTTCAAACTGGCTTTGTCATAATTGCAATTTGTACTTAGTATGTAATTGCAATATGTACTTTGTACATAATTGCAATTCAAGTATTTAGTATGCCTATTCAATATTTATTAAAAACCAAATGCTGGAATTGTAACTGCTCCATACTGAAATCCCTTCTCAGCAAGGGAGAAAAATGCACTTTGTGCTGTTAAATTTGCAAGGAAAGATGAGCAAAATGCAAAGTGCAGAACTATGAACTGTCTGTCTAGATTGGAAAGTGTGAATTTGAGTTTTACTTGAGGGATGTCCTTCTGCAACGGTGTTGAGTTGATTTGGCATGCTTTTAACTTTTTTTTTCTTAAGGTTCTTTAAATAAAACAAAATGTTTTTACTTACAGCACTTGAAGAATCGGAAAGTGACATTTATGTGCGATTCATGAGGTCACACAAGTGTTATGACATTGTTCCAACAAGCTCTAAGCTTGTTGTTTTCGACACTACGCTACAAGTGAGTATTCTTCTTTCAGTCTGCCTTTCCTTGCAGTTCACTTTTTGAAATGGGGGTTATGTTTCCTGAGTGTTAAATGAAGTATTATCTCCTGTAATGCTGTACTTTGAATATGAAAACCCCGTGTTATTTCAGTCATATCTTTCACATTACACTAGTGGAGGATCTTGGAGGGTGGGGGACTTCCTAGCTGAAACAGAATGAGAAGATATAATTGGCAATTGTAATCACTGATGAGATTCTGAAAACCCCCAAATTTATATTTTTCATGACTGTCAATTTGTGGAAAGATATCTTACATAGAGCTCCACGTGCAATAATTAAAGTTTCCAGGTGCTCTAAGCCTGTTGAGATAACTTAGGACTAAAATGGGTGGCTTAATGATGCAAATTACTGCATTCTCCAGAAAATTTTTGTTTTCAGCTTTTCTTTTTTGCTTTTAATCAGTAAATCATCATCTGCTAGGCTCTTGGCTCTGTGGGAAGAGCTTATTTGCCAAAAGATGGCAATAGCTGCCTGCTGTAGAGATGGGTAATCTGTTCTGCAGTGTGGTGGAACGCTGTGGCTTTCTTTATTTCCTTGATTTTCGCAATCAGTGTTTTTTGAGGTGGATTTTTTTTTTGGTCTCCTTTTAATGATGTTCCAGTTCCGGCTTAAATAAGCACATGAAATAGTCTTGGCCTGGAATGTACTACTCAGACTACAGCCTTCCACTGTCAGGAAGAACATTTAATAGATTCTTAATCTCAAAATGTTCCCAGAACCATCTTGCGTATCAGATAATAACATGGAGTACAAGATCCTTAGTATTATGGGCTAAACGATGGAAAGCCTACTTGCACAACAACAAAAAACAGTGTAATACTTGAGAATGTTGCACACATTGACTTCTCAGCTGTCAGTGGTCACCTGGGCCAAAGGCTTGAGCTCCATTGTTGCAATTAGAAAGATGAACTTTTCCTCTTTATTACAAAAACCAGTTGGTCTTGGAGCCAGTAGGGTGAGTCACTCATTTCTTTTGGGTTCCCCAAACTCCTGGTGAATTGCAGGAAATGTTTTTAGATACCAATCATTCTCACTGGAGCTGTGTTGAGTAATGCTATTAATGTAAAGAAGTGGTTTAATCTCCATTTAGTGAGCCAATGTAAGGTAATGCTTAGAGATAGTTCTAGTGAATGAACTAGTGAATCTAAATCCCATAGGAAAATAGGTAACTCAATGAAAAACGTTTTACCTAACTCTCTACCAAACCCCTGTCTTATTTGGGTTGCCTAATGGTGACTGGATTGCAGCTGGCAAAGAACAAAGGACATGCCTTGGCCTATGATTCTGGGGTCATTCTTGATAATAGAAAATCAGTTTCTCTTTTGGTAGCTTAGAGCATCCTCTTGAAACAAGTGTCCATGAGTCTTGACAAAGGGAGGTGATCTTGTAGATATGTATTCCCTGGATGTTTCACTCCTACTCATGAGTGTTTCTCCTAGCTTAAGATCAATTAAAAAAGCCTGGTGCCTTAAAGTTCTCAGATCTCTCAAAACTTGAATTTCTAACAGTGAGAATTCTTAAACAGTACATGGGCTTACACTAAATGAGGCAGAAAAGTAAGCTACCAGCAATTGATGGAAGAATGAAATAGTGGAGCTGCATCATTTTCTCATGCTATCCTTTGGAAGACTGTCATTGGGTTTCTATCTGACTGCAGTACCCTGTCTCCCTCTACTGGGCAGAAATCTCAGCACACATTTACCCTGGAGATTTGTACATGAGGTATTACAGAAAGTATTTCAAAACTGTTGTTAACTGTAGGGAAAACTGAAGATGTTATATCATGGACGTAAGCAATACCAGTGAAGCAACATCATTCAATAAGTGTTAAGTCTCAGTATTTTTGGAGGGCTTTAATGTGAAGATTTGTAAGGAATCTTCCTTTATCCTTGAGTAAAAGGACATGGTAAGGAGCAAAGCTGACAGGAGGCCTTAAATAGCACTATTAGTAGCTAATTAGGAATGGGCTGACAATCTCTTCAGTCCTGTTATTGGTCAGAAAGCTTGGGGGCCTCTTGATTCCAGCAGCTACCAAACATCTCATTTCTCCTAGCACACCACTCTGGTCTTGTCAGGAGTGAGCCTGTGCCACTGGCACCTCTGTTGCGCTGTTGTGAAAGCAGTGGTAGCTTGTACACTTCAGTTAGGCATGCTTCACCAGGAGAACGTGCTCTGTGCTGCAAAGTCGAACAGTAGATATGTTGAATAAGTAGTAGACAGAGCTGTGATCTGCAAACCAGCCTGAGGCCAACTGGCACAGCTCCATTTGCCCCAGTATAGCAGCTTATATTTCTTCCTAAACTTGACTGCCTACCTGAAATGACCCATAGGCTGTACTAACCTTGAGAAATGGTGACTGTAGTTGGGAAAGTGCTAACTGTAAGCAGTTGCTCCTCAAATCTATTGAGCTATGCCTCCATGCCACAGTTCTCCCCTGCCTGAGACCCACTCACTCACTCCTTCAAGAGAAACCCCTGCCTTTTGCTTTTCCCAGAGAAAAGAAACTTCTAAAAGTCTGATCTGAGCATGAAGAGTTGGAGTTGGGAGGCCATGAGATGCTATGTACTATCCCATGAAGTTTGCCAATTCAGCTTTGTGGACAGTGAGGAAACGAGGCAAGCTGCAGCAGTATGCAGCTCTGTGATAAACTGCCAGGATGCAAACAATAGAACAAAATCCTCCCAGCCCCTTTGGGAAGGATAGGAGGGTTGTCCCTTGAAGGGCTACTCTGCTGTCAGTGAAGGACCTTGCTGTTCTTTTTGGCTTTAATTCAATAAATTAAAGGTGATCCACATCTGTTGACTGCAGGAGAACACTGAGCTGGATGCAGGCTGGCTGGTTACCTGCATGTGTTTTCAGCACAGTATCTGGGTACTCTATGTGTTAATGCATTTAATGTGGCAATATTCTGGGGAAGTAGCATCATCCAGGTCTGTGTGTGCTTTCTATTTGGTGGTTTTAACTGACATTGGGTGCATATAGTGGTGCTTAAAGCAATTTGACTTCTTTGAAACTGACAAAAGTGCTTTGAAAGGAAATTATCTATTTCAGTAATTCCTGTATTATAGTTAAGTGTCAACAAAATGTAGCACTTCTTCACATTCTGTCAGTCAGATGAGTTTTCTCTGTTGGTACTACCATCACATACTGATGTGATTTCATTTTTCAGTGTTATTGCCTAAGCTTGACTTTGTTATACCTTCTTTCCAACAGAAAAATTTGTTTCTCCACCCTATTGTGAGCTCTGTTTCCATTTTGGAAGGAAATGACTCTCAGCAGAGCATATAGCAGTCTCTGCAGCTTAGCTCTCTAATCTTATTTAAGGCCAGATTTTTGCTTGGCCTTCAAACAAATTCATTATTTAAATGTTTTGTCTTTGAGATGGATTAGCTTGTTTTGTAACACAGACTAACTGACCATCTAAAAGAAGGGTAAAAACTAAGTGCAAGGCTGGCATTTTCAGGCTGGATGTGGCTCTGGGCAGCCTGGTCTGGTGGTTGGTGACCCTGCCCATGGCAGGGGGTTGAAACTAGATGGTCTTTGAGGTCCTTTTCAACCCAGGCCATTCTATGATTCTGTGACTTCCTTGTTATGTATCAAGCAGTCATTCACAGTTCTAGGAGTGGCATAATTGCACACTTGCTGGCTGTGTCTTGTGAAGCCTGTATAAACTCCTGTGGGGTGCAGAGCTCTAGCTAACCTTTGACTAAATGGTATTTTTCACTTATTAAAAGTAGAATTACATTTTACCACTGAAGTATACATTTCTTTTTGCTCAATGTGATATTGGAAGGTATTTTTGAAGTCTCTGGTATTTTGTGAAGTAATAAAAATCTTTTTTTTCCTATTGAAACATCAAAATAAGGCTTCAGAATCATGAAGACTCTTTGCCTTTCTTTTGTCTTGAAGAAATCTACACAGTTGGTTGGCTTGATTACATTATTAAACAAAGGTTAAATTATTGATGTTGGTAATAGAGCGGGCCTTGTCAGTAAAGTAGGCTTTTGTTGGTAACTATCACATACATGGAAGAACTCAAGTACTTATTTTTCTTCTGCATAACTAGAAAAATATTTGGAATAATCTCCTGGAAACTTATTTGTTTTAACAAGCTGGAAGTAAATATAACTTCTGCAGAGCAAGGGATTCCAGATTAGAACAGCACAAGAGGATTTGTATTTCTCTTCCTTGTGCTGACTTGAAGTAAATGGGGTTCATTATTCTTGTTCCCTCCAGGTCATTCTTGACTGAGGTGTTCCCTCTCTCCGAGGTAATGAGACAGAGCAGGCTTCCAGAAGGAATGCTCTAGAATCTTTTGCTTCCATAAGCATGCAGCAGTCTCAGGGTCTGCTGTCATAACAAGAGTTCTCACAGCTTTACAAGGGGACTATCTGTGCCTTAATTGGCTTCGAGGTTTTTCCTCTTTAAGCTTCCTAAGTTTAAACTGTCTGCATTTTTGAGGAGTGTGAACATCCCTCCTTGCTTACTCATTCCACAGAGCTGTAAAAAGAGCAATGCATTAGTTTCTAGCTGGCATGTGGGCTGAGACAGGCCACAAAAAAGCGCCCTTGAGATCAGGCCAGAATCAGTAGCATAATACTGGAAGGCTGTTTTTCTTTAGAGTTGCTCCTGTACATAACAAGCATCAGAGCTCGATTCCTGCGGCTCTCAGGACCAATAGGAGGCATTCACTCCTTGATCTTGGGGAAAGATATTGCGAGTTCCTAGGTACCAATTAAATGGAAATGTCTTAGTCAAGACAGGGTGTAGCTGGAACACTTGTGCTTGGCTCAGTGAAAGTCATGCATTGTTCTTGCTCTCCCTGCATCGCTCCTGCCAGGAGTGGCAAGTTCTTAATCTGTCAAAGAATTTCTGTGCCCTTTCCAATGCAGCTGGCCCTGTGAGGCTGGCTTTCTTTCTGACTCCTAGCCCACTAGTATGTAGTAACAGAAATT